TGGGTGGAACTAAGGAATGTAGCTCGTTTGAACATTTGCCATGGAAATAGCGAGTGGGTAGAGAAAGACTAACATCGTTTCGCCTGGGAGAAAGTAATTTTAGAGTAGAAAATGATTCATCACCCACAAGGCCGCGTAGGTGCTTCTGGATTCTATCAAAAAAGTGAAAGTGGAAACTCGCACTGACAAATGCTAAGAATACCTTGAACAGGTATTGAAGAAGTTTTAAGAAAAGGAACTATAAAGAAACTAATGCACTGAAAGAATCTTGGCTGATTCGGGTTTTTTTCACGACTTATCAACCCTTTAGAGTCTGTCTATATTTCTGAGATAAGGTATTATGTTCAGTATTTACATTAGTCGGACTATTGTCCTCATCTTTGTCGCCATATTTGTCACAACGTTTCGGCGTGGTTGGAATTTCAAACTGAACCCTTTATTTCGCTCACTGGGGTAGACTGTTCTAGTTCCACGTGCCATGTTTGACGGATGTCAGTTATCAGTTATCTCCTGCTAATTTTCCCTCTGAATGTTCTCCACTGCCTTAACCGGGTATTGAACTCACCTTCTTATCAACCCTTTGCAGGTCATTTGAAACCAGAAAATATTTGTAGGTTCTAAGAATTTGGTTTTTTATTTATTAGATAATAATGTTTTGGTGGTACAAGTCTTCGTAGAGGGGCTAATCAATGCTGAATTGGTTAAGCATCTAACATCGAAGGGCCTTTTTCAGACATACCTTTCGTTTCTCCAGTTCAACTGCTCATATACTGACGATAATTACAAAAAGAGCCTATCAAGATCTAGATGAAAAAAATAAAAAATTGTGAAGTCCGGGCTGCAGCTTTGGACATCTCAAAAAGCTTTCGACAGGGTTTGACATCCAGGTCTTCTCCACAAGCTGAAAAGTTAGCTGTCCCTAGAAAAATTCTTGAACTGATCCAATCCTTCCTTTCGAATCGGAAAATGAAAGCAATCCTGAACGACCACTTATTCAGTTTCTTTCGTGCTTATGAGGTGACCCCCCCCAAGTAATCCACCATTTATCCTACATTGTTTTTGATTTCTATTAATGACGACCTTCCCGATAACATCAGATCTCAATTTGGTATCTGTTGAAACTTGACTAATGCATGGAATAATAATGCAACACAAAATGTACTTAGAACAAAATGTATTGAAACAAGAAAGTGTACACAATATTTACATATAGTCTTTTGTATATTCCTGGTAAGACCGTTCCTGGAGAATGTGTTGACTGAGTCGCAGTCGGGCAGAGTCTCTGGTTGAATCTCTTGATTCCTGTATTTATCTATCCACCCACGAGGAAAAAATGTGGCACAAGGCCGGTTTAAAGTGGGTATCTCCGAGCCCGTAGGCTCGGCCATGAATATGGCCTTTCTGAACCCGCCTAGACGGGTTCAATGCCTGTCTACCACCCCGGACGAAACCCTGCCTCTCGGCAAAGCCTCGTCCGGGTCCCTCACTGCAAAATGCAGAGAGTTCGACTGAGAGTGAATCTCTTGATTCGTCCCTCTCTTCCCGGTACCAACCATATTTATATGGTCGGTACTCCACTATGCAAATTAGGTGGATCCTACCACAACAGTATCTATGCTGATGACACGGCCATTTGCACCTGTCTCGATAGATTGGGCTAATGTTCTCGGCTGACATGAAGTAGAAAGACTATACTGAATCCATTACCGGATCAGCTGCTAAGAAGATTGGTCCCCTTTATTGTCGTAGACGGTTTTGTCTCTCCAAAGCTTATCTTACATATCTATAAGTCTATCATACGTCCATGCTTAGAATATTGCTGCCACACATGGTCCAGTTCTACTGCTGTCTATCTAGAGCTCCCTGATAAAATCCAAAGACTCAGCAATATCATTGACCCCGATCTGGTGTCTCGGCTCCCATCACTTTCCCACCGCCGTAAGGTTGCCTTTTCTATAAACACTTTCACGGTAATTGTTTGGATGAGCTCTTTGTTTGCCTAGACTCTTTGAATTTAAATGCATTACTATTTTCAATAAAGCTGACTAGATGCAACCGTAAGTTCTATGCTAACAGTTTCTTTTCTAGCACTTCTCGCTTACTGAACTTCCGGCTCCATGCTTTACATCAAACTTTAAACTGCAAAAACTCTCCTCCTGATTACTCTTCTTCTGTTCTCGCTCTTTGAGATTCGGCGGCTTTACTTCCTTGCTTAAGATAAACTCGATTAAAAAAAAGTATTAACCCATAGCTGGGGAGAGAAAAGGTGGATTCATACCTACCGCAAGGGTATTTGCATGTAAGTGGATATAACAAACCCAATTGAAACTCGGCTCTCCGATTGACAATTTCAAGCCTTTATCCATCACACAATCGGCACATCCAAGCTCACAGCACCTCGTATTCCCAACAGGCCACCCATTTAGGTACTAACCTGGCTCGAGGTTGCTTAACTTCAGTGACTGTACGTGAATCGGTATTTCAAAGTGATGTGGCCGAAAGCCTTTCTCTGAAAGAGACCAGTACATATAATGAGGAAAGAGGGTCTAGAGTATTTAACACTCACAGGACGTATTGAAGACAAGAGAAGTAGGAGGAACCATCGTCCGAAATGAGGCCCTGCCGATGAATGCTAAGAATAGCGCTGACATCTTGGTAAACCCTCAGAGGACATTGATCCGGTAAATCATCGGGTAATTTCGATCTGAGTGAGCTTCAGAGAATTTCGATCCGGTAAATGGTCGGATAATTTCGATCTGGGTAACCTTCACAGAATTTCAATCCGGTAAATCGTCGGGTAATTTCGATCTGGGTAAACTTCAGAGAATTTCGATCCGGGTAAACTTTCAGAAAATTTCTAAAAGAACCCTTTCTTTAATATACAGAGGGATAGTTCTCGTTGCGCTGTCCGTGTCTAGGGATATTTCGTCTCGTTCTTATTAAATAAAGCGTTCAATTCGAAATTTCCTTTCTCTGATCAATAAACACTTGAAGAAGGTTGGAGGAAGCAACGGCCACAACCTTGTGATAACATCAAAGGTGAGGACAATAGCTTGAATGTATGCAATGCAAAAATGTACATCATATTTTATTACTTTTACCTCTATTTTACCGGTTTCATATTCTGTCACTCGTAGGTGAGAGAGAAGATAAAAAGAAGCCAGAAAACAATCTCCTCAGAGAGAATAACAGAAATATAAAACAAACGAAACGAAAAATTGAACATAAGAAAATGCAGTAATCCTTTCGAAGGGGTAGGTTATATATATAGGACATTTTTTTTCTGTTTATACATACAAATATTTAAGTAAATGCTCTGTTTATAATAAACAGTATTAACGACCTGAATGTTCGAGAAATTTTCATGGAAAATATGCGTCCTCCGACAGGAATCGAACCTGTATCCAAAACGGAACCGTCATATAGCCTGACGTGCTTTACCGATTTAGCCACAGAGGAGCGTTTCGTTTAGCAATATCGATTTTACTTTTTTTAAACTACAATTCTCCATGATTTTCTCTCGTACATTCATATCTGCTCGATGCGTATCCAAATGTAAACAAATGACGTCATACGTTATGAAATGGACAAAGTCTGACAATTATTTTTTAAGACATTTTATATATATATATATATATATATATAAAATGTCTTATATATCTTATATATATATATATATATATATATATATATTATTGGTAATTACTGGTAATAATGTTTGCCGTAGATAGGTTTATACTTATATTACTGGTTATAATGTTTGGTATTAGTTTTGAATTTATAAAATTCATATAAATATTCTAAAATATATATTATACTTTTATTTATAATGTAATGTTTTGTAAAGTTAGGTATTTACTATGTCTAATGTTTTTACTTTTTAAAGTGTTTTTTATTCACATACTATGGTTTAATTTTGTTAAAATATGTGCTTTCTTTCAAAACGCCGAACAGACTGAACTGCTACATTGTATCTAAAATATTTTCTATCTAGTTGCAATAATTTCCAGGTAAATTTTAATTTTCTCTATGAGATCTATATCTCAATGTTTTTTTTTTTTTTTCATTAGCTAAATTGTTATCAAGAACCTCTCCTGTTTAGCTTTCTTCTTTTCTTTTTTTCTTTTTCTTTTTCTTTTTCTTTGTATTCGTAAATTTTGATATATTACTCCTCTTCTTTCTCTTCTTTCCTTTTCTCTTCCTTTTATTCTGAGAAGGGATGGTTTTTTTAGGCTTTTCTTTTCTTACCTCTTTCTATTACTTTTTCTTCTTTCTTTTACTTTGATTGATTTCTTGTCCTCTTCTTTTTTTCAGCTTTAACCTGCACATTTCTTTCTTTTCCTTTTATGGAAATTTTTATATATTTCTTTCTTTTGCTTTGATGGAAATTCTTCTTGTGTCTTCCTAAATTTTAAAAAAATGTAGAAAGAATTGATGTTTCATGAGTAGCAATTTTAAAGAAAATCGTTTATAACCATCTTTGATCACCACCTGACGACATGCTTGAATTAGGCATCGAAATAAATATGCATTTCTGTAGTGGTAACTTGTATGTTTTTATGTAATAACTCTATTTTTTATTGTGTCCTTTTTTGAATTAATGTTATGAACGTTTGAATTTATATTCTTATCGTTCTCTTTACATTCGTGTATATATATATATATTTATATACTGTTATGGGGTCCACCCCTTTTTATACTAGTGGACTCGCCCAGTGTGTACTTGTACTGCTGCCGGTGAATACCCAGAGAGTGACAGTGAGACAGTGGGAGAGTAAGAGTGTGAGGTAACCGCTTTGTAGGAGTCACAGTTGCGAGCACGTAGACTCAGAAGGAAGTCATACTTTGATACTGAATTTCCCAGACTGTATATATATATATATATATATATATATATATTATTGCTATTAACTGCATTTCTGGATCTACTAACCGTATTACCAATTGTATTATTACGTCAATACATTTATTTGCTATATTTCATTCCTGCGTTTGTCATTTATTTGAGACCAGATTTCATCCCGGAATTCACAACACACACACACACACACACACACACACACACACACATATATATATATAATCAATAACAAAAAATAAAGTAATCAATAATAAATAATGAGTAAAAATATAACAAACATTATAAAATAGTTACAAAAAAACGCCTTCAGATACAGAATTATTTCTACTCAATATCCTGTAGAATAATTTGAAACAACCTTTACTGTCCATAATCATTAGAATAATACAATAGACCATATTACCCATAATGCACGATTGAGCAGCATATGTAAATAACGAAACAAAACACAATACATTGCAGATTGTGTTTAAGCATGAAACAAACTGTCGCCGCTGGGCGTTGACCTCAATGTTCACTTTTATATTTACATAGGCTCTATCCCTGATAGCGAGCATTTTCATCCATAAATATAGCATACCTTAAAACTATATTTTTATTATATATATATATATATATATATATATATATAATTATTTATTTAAAAATTATAACATAAATATGCTATAAAATCATTACAAAAATAGCCATTTTGTTTCAACACCTCCAGTGTCTTATCAAGTGATGATGTTGAATGTAGAAACATATATATAGATATATATATATATATATGTGTGTGTGTGTGTGTGTGTGTGTGTGTGTGTGTGTGTGTGTGTGTGATAAATACTCATACGTAAATGCACACGTGTACACAGAGACACACACTCACACATACAAACAAAGAGAAAATGAACCACACATCAATAAATAAATTTTTAACTTGATATAAAATAATGAAAATGAAAAATATCTCTCGATTGCAGAAACCACCTGAGGATTGGACGGAATGATAGCAAAACGCTTCGTCTAAAGATGCAACCAAAGATTAATTGCAACGAGTTGAAAGAAGTTCGCAAAGGAGCAGGTTTGCAAACCAGATACCTCCTGGAATAATATTATTTTGTCTTTTCTTCTTTTTTTTACTAATTTGTTATAACCTAGGGAAGATTACTGAATAGTATAACAGAAAGTTTCTTAATGAACGATAATACTTAGGAGACGAACAACACATAAAAGATTCGCCAGCTGCGCGTAGAGGAATTAGTTAACTGCTAGACGTGAGTCAATGAATCTCCTACTGCAGGATATCTACCAAGCGCGCAACGTGGTCAAATTTGGCACAAGGACGAATTTAATATGGGGCATCCGAGCCTGTAGACTCGGTCAAAAATTTCTCGTAGGCCGCGTATAAAACGGGGTTGGATAGCTATTTCCCAGGGCGAGACATAGCCTCGTCTGGTCATTGTCTCTGCCCGGAGGCGGAGTGTTTGACCAGCAGACCTCGAGACGAATCTCCAACTGCAGACCAACATATAGTATTTCCTACTGTATTTATGAAAATGGGGATATACACATCATTGTCTGTAGGTATGCTACAACATAAATATTCACACAATACAAAGGTCAAGAGCCACCCAAAGTAGAGTTTTATTAAATGAGGTTGTTTTATGGATTTAGGAGTGGGAAGCGGGAAGTAGGCACAGATAATGAGTATACGTAGGATAGACAAAGTTTGAATCTACGCCTGAAGATGTTAAGATTGTAGTGTTAGAGTAAGCGTCATCTCATCTCGAGAGTTTGGACCAAAAAGTAGCTTTTCTCGCGAAAGTGTTCGAATGAAACTTCCTCCTTACAAACGGAATACGAAGGGAATGAGGACGGTTCTCCTCGGTGTACATGGCATTTCGGGTTTTAGCGGTAACTGCCTGAACTAGTATAACGATGGAATGCAGCTCGTCAAAACTTTGCACTGTGTGATAAGATTTTTGCCTGTGGCTAATAAACCATATTTCCTATTTGCTTGCGCCTAGAATCTGTGAACAATGTCTAATATTTCCTTAAAACTTTCCTTTTGTGTCAAGGATGATGACATTTCTGAAATTGACCTTTTCCCATTGAGAAAACTGGCGAATGTCAACATTCTCGTTCGCACAAGTAGGAACCAAACGACATATGATTCAAAAGTAGCATTTATTTATATTAGGATTACACAAGAACATTCTTGTTCATGAAAATTAGGAACAAAATGATATATGATTCAAAAGTAGTATTTAGTGTAGGATTACACAAGAACATTCTTGTTCATGCACAGTAGGAACAAAACGACATATGATTCAAAAGCAGCATTTATTTATTCTAGGATTACACAAGAACATTCTTGTTCACGCAAAGTAAGAACAAAACGATATATGATTTAAAAGTAGCATTTAGTCTAGGATTACACAAGAACATTCTTGTTCACGCAGAGTAGGAACAAAACGATATATGATTCAAAAGTAGCATTTATTAATTCAATGATTGCACAAGAAGGATCACATAATATTTAGAAATGAACAATTTTTTCCCGCAGTATGTAGCTATTTCTTTCTGCAGTGAACCAGTTGCTATCCAAGGCTACAGAACCCTGTCTGTCCTGCTATTTACCCATAGCTGGGGGAGAA